AAATTTTGTCTTTAAAATATATCTTGAATAATATTTTTTGTTAATGAGCATAGTAAAAAACTTACACATTTGCCCAAATTCTTTGTCTATTTTATCAGAATGTGTCCAAATTAATGTTCATTTATTTGGAACTCAGTCGGCTATTCCTGGGCATATCTGTATTTATTCTTTGTTTATAATTATCATATGTACACTTTATCCCTGAACATCTTTACTTTATCAAAACCGAATTAAAACATATCACCAGATGCAGATGACAAGTGTAAAAAATACAGAAATACATGAATGCTTACAAATCTTGGGAGAGGCCTAGGGTTTCGTGGTTCTATTTCTAGGGACTTGTTGAAAAGATAATCTGCAAATTCTTTATCCATGCTATTTCCCATTGGATTCAAGTTTTCAAAGAACCTCTGAAACAAATTCAAAGAGACAGACAATTATTAATATTAAATAATTTAAACTCAGTGTGTAATCCAGGAAAAGTAATTTAAGAAAACATTTGAAATGATTTAAGTTTTCTTCTCCTATTTCTCCTCTTCATCAGGCAGTTTATGATAATCCAACTTACTTTGATATCTGATTCGACTCGTAAACAGTAAGGCTGATTTTGGTACTGTTGGATCTCTCCTGTTATTTCTGCTACTTTCCTCCTTTTGCTAAAGTTGATAAGTTCTTTTCCATGTCTTTTTAGGACCTCAGGGTTGCCTTCTTCCGTTTTTAAGATATTAGTTAAATAAATTCCTATAAGATATAATAGAATTATTTAAGGGATGAAAAAGGAAAAAGTGGTTTCTTTTCTTTTCCATGTGACACATAGCACTATATTATCTCAATCATCATAACCAAAGAATCAAGGTAAAGAAATTGATGCTATGAAAAACAACAATACCAAAAAAGATTTTTATAAGTATCAAATTCTTCTTTGGAAGACTTACATTTTATAAATACCCAAGAAAATGGTATTTTAAATAAGTAACTTTGTTTACTAACAGTTGTTTCAAGAGGATTAAGTAAGTAACTTTGCACACCCATACACCATTGTTATTTTATAGAAATCATAGTTTTATTGAAGGAACTTATGAAAAACCTTATATTGTTGCTGAGTGTCTTCTAGTTGTTTCCATCTCATAGAGACAGAACCTGTATAGCATTTCCGAGGAGCAGCTGGTGAGTTTGAACCACTGACCGTGCATTTCAAACCAACCTTGTCCAGTGCTTCTCCTACAGTGCCACACCAGGACTCTCAACATAGTAACATATTTTCTGGCACAAAGGAAAAATGCTGAATTTACAGGATCACGTTTTCTGCTTAGCTCTTGAGGCCATAAAACTGGTAGTTAGAATTTGCAATTCAGAGGTAGAAATGTTTGGATAAACTTACTCTTGGGAAGAACACAAACTATCAAACTCACAAGTGTCTATGGCTTACATCTCTCCTGTTTTTCAGCAATTCTACATTTAGTGGGAATAATCTGTTCACTGAGTTCCTCTTTCCCCATCCTTGTAGGCTGTGCACTGGCTGAGCAGGAGGCTAAGCAAAGTTCTTTTTGTAACCCTTTCTTGCCAGGAGCACTTTAGTTCCTTTCTGTTTTAGCATCAAGGTTCTGAAGCCAGTTTTGCTGTTTTCTGCTTAGATGATGTTGCACAATTTGCCTAGCCTCTCTCTTGTCTCAATTGTCTCATCTATAAGGAATGTCTCTGTTGTCAAAAAGTGTCATTGAGTCAGTTCAGACTCACAGTGACTCAGTATAGGGTTTTCGAGCAGTGGCTGGTGGGCTTGAACCACCAACCTTACGGTTAGCAGTCCAAGGCTTATACTACAGCACCATACCAGGCTACGATAAAATGGGGATGGTGGTGGTGGTGCTGATGTGTTGTGGAGTCGGTTCCGACTCAAAGCAACCCTGTATAAGTGTTTCTGAGGCTGTAAATCTTTACAGGAGCAGAAAGCCTCATCTTTTTCCCACGGAACAGCTGGTAGTTTCGAACTGCTAACCTCAAGGTCAGTAGCCCGACTCATAACCACTATGCTACCAGAGAGCTGTGAGAAATACATGAGTGAATTCGTGTATCAGTTTAGAATAAAATCAGTTGCCTTTGAGTTGATTCTGACTCACGGCGACTCTGTCTATCAGAGCCATAAGACTTTTGATAACTCATTTTCTGGAAGTAAATCACCAAGCCTTTTTTCTGATACCCCTTCTTAGTGGAACAAAACCTCCAACCCTCTGGTTCGCAAATGTTGACTATTAACCACCCAGGAACTCCAAGGCTTAAAGTGTTGTTAATTGCCACTGAATCTCTTCCGACTCATAGCCAACCTGTATGGGGTTTCTGAGGACAGTCTTGTGGGTCTGAACTACCAACGTTGTGTTAACAGTCCCGTGCTTACCCTACAGTCCCACAGAAGGACTCCAAGGATTAGAATAGTGCTGACAAAAAAAGTAAGGGCTTAATTCTTAATTCCGTACTGTGATTGTTGTTGCAATTGAGCCAATGCCTAGATTTTTGCCTTCCCCTCCAAAGTTCTGACTGTGAGGCTTTAGGAAAAAAGAAGGTTGTGCATATCTGATTTACTCAAAACATACGTACTGAGTCCCTGCTGTGTGCCAACACTGTACTAGATACTGCAGATACAATGATGAATAACACATACATAATCCTCACCTCAGTGAGGCCTGAGCTTTGCATGTGTGCTAATAGTACAATTTGCTAAGTGCTTTATTACTTAGTGATGCATACAGTGGTTTGAGAACACACAGGAGGTACGCCTACCTCTGCCTACAGCTGCTAGAAAAAACAGCAGTGAGGAGGTGATGTTTAAATAAGTCTCATGGTAATTAGAAGTATAATGGATAGAATAAAAGGGAAGTGCAGTCTACAAATAGCAGGAATGTGTAAGGCGGCCCTAAATACTGTAGCTTGGAAGGCATATTTAAACAGAGCACGTTGATTGGTGTGGGTGGCTAGCCTATAGGGGAGAGGTTTGGTGCGTGGGCTGAGGGCAGAGTGGTAAGTGGGATATGATGGCAGACAAAGACAGGGCCTACATCAGTGCTTCTAAATGCTTTTGTGATGGACACATACCTTCAAAACCCAGGAATTTTGGTCACATATTGAAGAGACTGACTAAACGACTCAAATCAAACTGAAGAGTCTATTAAGTGTATTAGTTACTTGGTTATTCCTGAGCACTATATTAAAAAACACTTTTTTTGGCATAACGGTTTACTGTTTAGATGACTTTTTCTTTTTTTAAGGTTTTTATTATGGATTGAGTAAAGGTTTACAGGGCATGTCATCAGTTTTACATTCAACAAATCGTACACCTTGTTTCATTACAATGATTATAATCCCCTCCATGTACCATCAGTTACCAGTGTTTCTCTCTATCCACTTTAGCTTTTTTTTAAAAAAAAAAAACACTCAAGCATATATAATAATTTACACCACCAAATGGCACATTCTGCAAGTCTGCCTCCTGGCCACCATCTCTTAGTCCCTCTCTTGTCATCAACCTCGAACCCTCAGCTACTCCCTTTCTCCATGTCCCCATCTTTGGTGTTGCTGCTTCTCTGGATAAGGTTTCGCATTCTGCTTGTGCTCTTCTCCCTTGATGGTTCTAGGTTCCATTGTTTAGATTAACTACTCCCCCGTTTTTGTTTCAAAACTTCTACCTTTACAATTGTGACAGTTGCAATTAGTCATAACAATTTTAGATGCCTCTTGATTGTATATTCAGAATACAAAATTACAGTGTGTTACATGATTCATTTAGCTCATTGCTCAGTCTAACAAATGTATCCATAACAATATGCATATTTAGAAGCAACTAAGATTAGTTTTACATATTTGTTGTTGCTGTTATTAAGTGCTGTTGAGTCGGTTCTGACGTATAGCCACCCTGTATCAGGTTTCTGAGGAACAGCTGGTGAGCTTAAACTGTATCCAGTAGGTAATTAAGAGTGCGTCACCTTAAGGGGTCATGGTGGCATGGTCGATTAGGTATTAATCAAGGTAATAGAACTGTTGTTAAGGGCCATAGAGTCAGTTCTGACTCTCAGTGACCCTGCCAAGGGTTTCCAAAGAGTGGCTGGTGAGGTTTGAACTTTGAGGTCCAGTGCATTATCCTGCAGCGCCATGACATAGACTAACAGGGGCCAAATGGTGAGCCCAGTGAAGTCCCCTGACGTCTCTTTTCCTCTTGGTAGCAGAGGTAGTTGTTGTTGTTAAGTGCTGTCGAGTCAGTTCCGAGCTTGAACCACCAACCTTGCAGTTCAAACAGCTTTGCAGTCTGGTGCATTAACCCACAGCGCCACATCAGGACTAAACTCAGTGAACATAGTCATTATGCATTTTCCTCTTTTGCCAAGCACCTGGCATAGTCCCTGATACTTAGTGGGTACTCAAGAAATACTTGTTGAGAGATTGAATGATAGGAACAGCAAACCACCTCAGGTCTTGCCGAGGCTCCCTGGTATGAACCTGCATTATCATCACATCCAGAAGTAAATGCACAAGCTTTAATGTTAAAGAAAACAAAACAAATTGCATATCTTCATCAGGAATTTAGGAAGGAAAAAAAAGAAGTCCCCAGTAAAACTGAACGATACTACTTTCTATTTAAACCATAATGCAATTAATACATGATATTAAAATAAGCAGAAAGATATTAGAAGAAAATAGTAAGTTTAGAATCTTAGGAAAAAGTGAAGTAAAACAAGTGAAAACAAATGAGAAAGACATGCTGGAAAATAAAAGTGATTTTAAAAACAGGATTTTAGTCGTTATGGTAACTAAATGCAGAATTAAAAATGAAAAAGTTTTCTATAGTTGTAAACTAAAAAAACAAATTGTAGAAGAAATTATAAATAAGTTTCCATAGAATTTGTGGTTTAGTAGAATTTCTGCTTTACATGCAGGAGACCCGGGTTAAATTCCAGTGCACCTTGTGAGCAGTCACCATCATATCAGTTGTTGTTGTGGTGAAGTCCCGTCGAGTCAATTCTGACTCATAGCGACTCTGTCTAGGGTTTCCAAGGAGCAGCTGGTGAGCTTGAACCACCAACCTTGCAGTTCAAATGACTTTGCAGTCTGATGTATTAGCCCACAGAACCACACCAGGACTCCAGTGGAGAGGTTTTTATTGTTACGATGCTGAAAAGCTATCAGTGGAGCTTCCAGACTGCCAGGAGGAAAGGCCTGCCAAACTTCTTTTTAAAAAACACCAGCCAATGAAAACCCTGCAGATTACATGGCCCAAGCTGTTGTGCAAGGGTTGCCATGAGTCAGGGCCAATGTGAGAACAGCTAATTACAATAACAATCCTAGAATGATATGCTCCAGATTATTCCAGGCCCATATATAAATATCTGTTGCTGCTGTTGGTAAGTGCTTTTGAGTCAGTTCTGACTCACAGTGACCCAGTTATACTTTCTGAGGAGTGGCTGGTGGGTCTGAACTTACGACCTCATGGTTCAAACTGAGCAAAACCACCTACAAGTTATAGTAAAGGGAACAGCTAAATAGTGTAAATATTCTTTTCAGATTGTTCCAATTATATTTTGGGGAATCTGCACCAATGTTACAAAGTTCATTTGCAAAAGTAGACAAAATTGTCCAAGAAAATAATGAAGAAATAATGAAGAATCAACTTTATCTGATGTGAAAACACTATAAATATAAAGCAGGGTTTCTTGATCTTGGCACTACTGATATCTGACTCAGAATAATTCATTGTT